CAAATAAATGAAACTCGTTGCTTTACAAATGATGAAACACTATCTAAGTTAAATGGGGCATTATAAAAAGAGAAACGCTATTACACGATTTGTTTTAACGGTTTAACCTGCATAACTCCTATCTCATGTGCCTCCTGAATGTTTTCAGTCAACTTCTCTCAGACACATGTGTCAGGACTTGTGCGACAAACAACCCATCTCATAATTGGCACAACTCCTAACTGATCTGGGGGTAGTATGTGTATATTATATATAATCTTGATGAATCACCCCCCATGAAGAGGTGTTTCACTCCAAATGGGGGTTATTCATCAAGATTCTATATTAAGCATTAACACGGCAATGTATTTAGACATGATTGACCAAGGATGCACCAAGTAGTGCTGGTGGTCGTCGCCTGGTAGTGGTAGTCGTGCTGGCATTACATGTGGAGTTGCTTGTTGTGCCAGTGGTCCTATAGCGCGGGGTACGCAGGGAGCGCGAAGTGCACGTTGTGCGCGGGGTGTGTGCGGGAGTTGTAGTGGTAGTAGTAGTGAGACGGAGGCGGTTCTAACGTGTTAAATTCCTGTGTAGTTTCTGTGCCAACATGAAATGGTGCAATTGTTGCTCGAGCTTGGAGTTGGCAACAATAAGGATGCGCCAGCTGCAAACTTTGATATGCAATCCTGAAGACGCAGTGACGCAGCAAATGGACTTTGTGGATCGGCCATTGAGTGTTGCCTCTTCCAAAGGCGGTCAGAACACTGCGAGGTGAAGAGGTTGCTTAATCAAAGAGCTGCGACCCACGGCCACCCTTATGCGGAGCGTGCATAATATGACCCATTTGCGCAGCATAGTTTTGGCACCGGGCAGTTCTTACACACCACACACCAAGCAATGCTCAAGGGTTTAGATACTGTAAGTCTCTCCTTGCACCACATATCATGCTGTAGCAACCCCTCCTCGCGACCCCTGCGACTCTTATGCGGAGTGTGCTGCATTTGACATATGACCGCATTTGCGCAGCACAGTTTTGGCACCAGGCAGTTTTTGCAAACCACAGCGGTTACACAGCCCTGTTGCGTTTGGAGACTACGGTTTTATACTACATATTATATAATTTATATACGGTTTTCATATATTCCTGGTAACTCTCTACCTTTCGTGACGGCCCTGTCTCAAGTGAGATACAGAAAATGATTCGGTCTATGGTTGTCAATATATGTTGGGAATTGAACAGTTGGTTTGAGAACCCTGGGGCTGTTGAGAAAACTTACAATAAATTATTTTTGTTGCACTGATATCCCTTCATTCAGTGAAGTCCGCCGAATAGCAGTCACCACTGTAGTTTGGACTTGGTAGCCTTGACTTGACAATCCCCTGTTACCTGAGAGCTTCACTTTGTGTGTATCTTTGTTACAAATACTCAACCGACTCCACAACCACCGCCCTCCCTGGCTCTTCCGCGTTCACCTCGCCCTGCCAGGCGCATGCAGGGGATGATCCACCAACCGCTCTCGCACTTCTTCCGAGCAGAAGAGCTCATCGCACAGTGCTTGGGGCCTCAGGGGAAATAGAGGCCGGACAAAAACATGTGCCATCGAGTGAGCAAGATCAACATTGTTTTTAGGGCAGAACAACTGACTGGTGCTTAGCAGGGAATGAGGAAATGGATCCAATAGAATCTGTATTGTGGGCTCATTCCCTTATTCCCTACTAAGCACCAGTCAGACAATTTGTTTGAGTCCAGTCCAGACTTGTAGTTTTGAGATTGGACACACGTGGAGAAACTCAGCGACACCAAGTCGTTTCAAAACCCTTCTTGTTTTCTCTTGTTAAGGGCGAGAGGACCCCGTTTGGGAAATGAACACACTATAGATGACTCATGTAGTAGTCATTTGTGTGGGTATATACAGTTCACTTCATTGGGATGTTTGCAAGTTCTTAGGCTCCGACGCAGATCCGACAGTCCTCATGCCCTTCATGACGCAGAATGATGGCTGCTGAGCTGAGAGAATTTCTTTGGTGGAGCCGGGTCATGTTGGTTCCTTTAGAGGCGGCACATGTACCCAGGCTCGTGCAGGTGTTGAAAAGAACTTTTACAACTATCAGATGGACAACCAGCCTGCGAGTTTCACGTGAATATTCATTTGCAGCTAATTATCAGGTATCAATCAAATTTGCTTAAATTGCATGTGGTGTGCCGAGCCCAAACTGCTTGGAAGTGAGGGGCACTAGCTTCAAAAATACAAGATGAGTGAGTATCCTGACAAGAGTCAAACTTCCAAGGACCTGGGGATGCCTGCACGGGGATCAACACATGGATTTTCCATTGACTTGTGGGGTCCCTAATGACTTGGGATCCATTAGCCCAAAGGTCTTTCTTCTTAGCGTGCAGTGCAAACTTGGCTTGAGTAGACTTACGAGAGCATACTCAGTTATACCCGCGGTCGTGGCACCAACCCGGCTGTGGCGTTTTCTTTTCACACAGGATGGGTGGCGGTGTATGTTCACCATACTGCATTGTTTTAAATGTTGTGTTTTAAGTATTCTTTTGTTTATACGTTCAGTGCAACAGCAACGACTGTTACTACCACGACAGCAACAGTGACCGGATCTGAACGTTGCGCGACAGCAACCGTCAGTGATCGGATCATGGAAACCAGGCGGGCCATATGGACCATGCGGCCTTGGTGAATTCCCATGTTGGGGACTGTTTTGAACTCAGGAGAAGGAACTACAGATGACCTCTGGCCGGATTCTGCAGTCACTTTGATGGCATGTCAGATCATTTGACAATCGCACATAGTTGCATCATGGAGACTGCTGCGTGAAGGAACAGATTTGAGAGATGTGATGTTTGTTTGCAGGCACGCCACAATGTTGCGTTAAGAGAACCCAATGTTGAGAGACCTGATGTCATCGTTGCGTCAAATGGACGGCAGAATTGGACGAGCCTCGCAAGACAACTGAGGCCATGGCGGCGGAGGAGGAGGACCAGCAACTCTGGGACTACCTTGCAGCCATCACAGGCACTCCTGGTGCGACGCCTGGCGCAGTCGCTGCGGGAGCGTCGGTGAGCATGCCGTTCTCCGCGGTGCGGGCGGTTTGAATCCAGGGCAGTGGCAGTGAAATGAGCGAGTGAAGTGCGGAGCTTGCGCTGAAGGATGGGATTGTGGTATAGGAGGTATATATGTAGAAAGCTAATTACTCTTTCAGCTTCCACAGACCTGAGAAGACCCACCTGAAATATCCCCAGCCACATATTCCCAGAGGGTGTGAGGTTAAATCTGCGGTGACAACCTGAAGAAAAAACAAATAAAATCATCTAATAAATGTTTGAGTTGTAGGTCCTACATTTTTTGGGTGATACAGAACATATCGAAACATGTTGAAGACAATTCATTTCAGCCAAGATCCCTGACCTTTGCCTGTCGGGCACCCAGCTCGTTTGCGCTGGAAAAACTGGCCGGGCAGACGACTGAAGGCGTCACAACCAGTGAGTGTTTCAAAGCTCAAGATGTCTCACCAGAGGAAAACAGCGGAATGTGCGGGATCAGGGCGCGTTTTGGGGGGGCACTATCACTAGAGACGGTCTCAACACGTGTAAATATTTGTAAATCCTGCCAAGACTGCACGTAGTAATCCCGGACATCATCCTGTGAGGGATGGTTGAAACTGCAATAAAATACAATGTGTGTGTGTGTGCGGCTCTAAGTGTTTGAAAATCATAGATATATACACGTTTGTGGGAGATGATGTTTGTTTGCCATACCTTTTCAACAGCGCTTTACAAGAGGGATCAAGGGGGTTCACGGGTTCACTTCTAGTCCCGATGCGGTCATTAGGGAACTCACGAGCTGTCCCGTGCTTGAAGCCACTGTGGGTAGAGCATCCCAAAGCTGGAACACACGCATGGGTGCTTGGTAGTGAGGGCATGATGTTTGTGAATGCAATTTTGTAGTTGAGGGAAGTATCACGTTACCATACGTTACCCAAATAGTCCTTTTGAATTACAGATGACTACTCACCCCAACAGCCAACACATGCCCACAGTGTTAGGGGAACCAATAAGTTGAAGGTGTTATTGAGGCAGCTAGCCATGAACTCCAGGCCCTTGGTACCATCAACTGAGCAAGTTACTAGGCAGGCCAGCCTACTATATATCTAGAAAAACATTTTGAACTTCTTGAAATAATCATAAGAGTAGATGACATGGCCCCGATTTCGGATGACCATCAAAATCCCCATACCAAACAGGTGTGTGGTGGTTTTCCACTTCCATATCTTTGTTTTCCAGTTTTCCTCAGAGTGTATCTCAAAAGCAGCTCCTCTCCTGTGATTTGGGATTCCCGGTGCTGCTCGGTGTGGCAGTTTAAGTGTGTCACTTGATGGAATTTTTGGGTTCATGGCATTCATGGTGTCCGCATCATGTCCGCATGTCCCGATGCACTCAGCTTGCCACACAGACAGAGGATGAGAAGAAATACTTTGCAAACACTCCCTGCTCACCTTAACTTAGAGCAGAGATGGGTAGAGAGAGCCCCCCCAACCACAACCATTGGGGTTCTATTAGTAATGAATTGCAATACAGTACGCAACATTTATTAACCAGATTTATGGTTTAGTTTGTTTTATATTGTTGATGCTTCCCTTTCCTTCTTTTTCAAGTCTCCCTATTCCAATACACAACATGCCCGAGTAACACCGTCCTGGACACGCCATCATGGGCCATCCACGCTTGAAGTCAGACCCGTAGGTCTGAAGAGCAACCTACTACCAAAGAGAGATATTTGAGTCAAGCTTGCTTGTATGGGGTCCGAACTCCACATCACCTAGATAGGTTTCTCTCCTACCCCCTACCGCGGGCATGGCCGGGAAAAGAAACAAACAAAAACACTGCGCATGAGAGCATTATGTAGCTTGCCTGGTTAGGGGAGTGATGCCCTTGGCGCCAAGCAGACTGCAAGGATTCCATATGTGTTTCGCAGTGCCAGTCACTGGGGCCTTCCATTGGATGAATGCTACCAGGCTGGGAGTCGTCGGAACTCACCAGGCTGGATAGGCGGATTTTCATGGTGCTTTCGTAGAGGCACCACAAATGGTCATACCAGCTCACATGCAATTGCATGAGAACTGGTTACTGTAAAAGTAGGTCACTAGTTGCAACGTTGGAACATCCCTTAAGGTGGAAAAGACAAAACAAGTTAAAACATGTTAAAACAAGTATAGTATGGGGATGAGTCGTGACCCACCTGCAGCCCCGACCGTCCACCTTTTGCCACCGACCGTGGTCAATAGGTCAAGCAAGGTCGACCATGTAGCTTTGACCCACTGCCATGTACCGAAGGTGGGGTGCTTTGGATGGACTTGTGTTTTTCTCCACGCCCGGTCCACACCCAGCGAAGGTCAACTTTGGCTCTTGAGAGGGCGGCCAAACTCGGCATGGGAGCTTAGTATGATGGGATCCAGACTACGTGTTCTTTGGGTAGTCAGCCGAATCAGAACATATCCAATAGAATGTGGAAGTGACTTCCAATTTCTTTTTATTGAACTTGATTGACAGACAGCGACAAAAAAAAGTTTCAAAACGAACAAATACAACAAAAAAGCAGGGTGCACCATTCACATCTATCACATCGGAAAAATACGAAAAACACATAAGACCAGACTTCTGATACCACTAATACCGCTGCTTGTATTTGTTGTGTGTCACCTCCTGTTTCAAGGGAATGACCACACCTGTACAGAATGCAGGGGGCCAGCGCATGACATCACAACGCTGGCCAACGAAGCTAGTGATGTCATGGGAAGCGGTCAGTGTACCTGCACTAACTTTTAATCCATTCTAAAGGGCTAATGCGTTTTGTTCAAACAATTCAGTTTTGCCGACCCAGCACTCATGCCGTTCCCTCAAGTCAAGGGCTACGTATTCACCTAAAGTGCTAGCTCCACGTGGAAATCACAACTGATGTAGCTCTTGCGAGCATGGATCTACGTGTGTGCCGCAACAGGGTCCCGCAGAGGTCTGTTGTGTGATCACTTCGGGGCGCGTTGAGCATAGACCCTCAAGGGGGAATTGCCAGTGATTGCCCGTTTTGCTCAAATCTCTCCTGAACAGCTGTTTGCTCGAGATCGCTGATACAAAGCTGCAGAGCCTACTGAATACGCTTCAGAGAATGACATGCCGGACAGACGCATGTCATGCTGCTAAGTATTCATTGCTGTTTTGCTTTCCTTCCTTCGGCTTCTCTTCGTTCTCTACGTTTTTCTTCGTTTCTAAAGGCTTTTTAGGTGTAACTGAGGCTTTTTAGTCAAGGGAGCGCCGGTTTCGACTTTCTGGTCAACTGCCTTCGGGCCCGAGCCGGTCACCCCACCCCACCCCACACACACGCCTGCACCCGCTTTCTTTCCTTGCCTTTTTCGATTATTTGGTCTTTCCATCAGGCTTGCCAGGTCGACTTTTGGGCTAGTTTAGTCATTAGTCATAGCACACCCCCCCCCCCCCCCCCCCCCCCCTTCTCTCCTGCTGTCGTTTTTTTTCCCTTGGCTTTTCTTTTTTCTAGAGGCTTTTCAGGTTCCCCCAGAGCGCCGAATTCGGCATTGTGTGTGTGTGTGTCTCACCTCCGGTTTCAAAGGAATGATCACACCTGTGGAGAATTCAGGTGGCCAGCCTGGCCAGCGCATGACATCACAACGCTGGCCAACAAAGCTAGTGATGTCATGGGAAGCGGTCAGAGACGTTTGACTGCATTAACTGTCAATCCATTCTAAAGGGCTAATGCGTTTTGTTCAAACAATTCATTTTTGCCGACCCAGCACTCACGCCGTTTTAAGTCACAGGCTACGTATTCACCTAAAGTGCTAGCTTCACGTGGAAATCATAACTGATGTAGCTCGTGCGGGCATGGATCTAAGGGGAAAGGGTTTATAAAACAACACTTTAGATGCTGACCAAACCATCCGCGAAAAGGTTGCGAACCCATTGTCAAAAACGATCTATCGAAGGTCTTCCGGTTCATATTATGTTCATACAAGGCAATCTTCTGGCAGAGCCGGTGGGCGTAAGTGTTCCCACATGTCCCCACTGTCACAGACTAACGAACTGAAGCCTCAACCGCTCCCTGCCCAGCCCTCACAGTGCGTAAAGGGTTCTCCGATTCCTGTCCCATTTCCACAAGCTGACAAACTGAGAACTCAACTTGTCCTTGCGCTGCCCTGACAGTGCGTACAGGATTTTCCTTCCCCCAACTTGACTCACAAACTGCAACTGTATCACCCTTGCGCAGCCCCGGCAGCCCTGCAAGGTATGATATGCACTTTTCGTGAAATCAGCAATGAATTTTCGCGTATTCCCAAAGGCTTGTCGCACAGATGCTGCCAGTGACCCTAGCGTAGCTGTAGCAGTTCTCAGCCTTATGTGCAGGTCATGTTGCAAGATGTCAGTCACTAACTGCCGCTTATATAGACAAGAAATTAGGTAGTAAAATATACATGAAGAACATGTTACAAGGGCATGGTTTTCGCAAAAAAAATATATACTATTATTTGTCAATAAAAAATCCATCATAAAACATTTTGATCAACCACCATACAGATCTCTAACATTGGCTGTGGTAATGCATGTTTTCGGAGTGAACTTCTAGAGCCTTCCAGACGTGCCCACCCCAGAAAAGGATGATAAAACACCCTAATGAAACATCGCTTTCGGGTCATTTCCATAGAATCCAACAAACGTCCTCCATCCGAGTCCCAAGCACCCAGGCCGCAGCCGCAGCCTTGCGGCATGTGCCTGGGGCCTATCTGAGGCCTATCAGCGTGTGGTCGAGAGGATGGACTCACCAAGAATGCGTGATCAAAGGCCATGGAAAAGATGTGTTTTCCTCTACAGATGAGGGAGTGTTTGGAAACTTCGTTTGATGAGTCGGAAGGTGAAACTGGACACTCAGGACGGTTCGTGGTCTTTTCAACTCAGATGTTCGCCAGCACTCTTTGTCTGGCGACTCTCCCGGAACGTGGGCCCCCGAAGACCAAGCCTGGTTCTCAAGTTGTGTGCCTTCATAACCCAAGCAACGTGTCAGTGAGCCCAGAGCGGTTGATGGACAGCACTTGTGCATAATATGCTGAGCTCTGTTATTCGAGTTCAGCATGTATGCTGTGGGTTCTGAAACCTTTGTGCAGCCTCAAAAGCTTAGAGAGCACAGCAACACGATCATTTCAATATGATATAACCTGCAGAGTCTGATTTCAGTGTTTTGTTTCGAACCTGAAAAGTGATTTTTTTTCCCGAAGTTCACCTGCCAACTGCACAGCTGTTCGACGATGTTTGGACCACTGTTTTTCTTTACTTCGGCGAACCGTTGGATTCGTCGTCTCTCGTCCGGTCGAGGCGTCCCAGGAGTCGATGCGGGGAAGCTCGGGAGTGGTGACTGGGCATGGACTACCTCCACTTGGGGACTTAGGGATAGCCAGGAGACCCAGACAGGATGGCCCTGCTAACTTGTAGCATGTACCAGGGGTCACGAAGTGACCTCCATAAAGCACTCACTTAGAGGAAAACTCATTTGGCACCCCTTTGAATCTTGGGTTCTTATCTTCTTGGTTTTCAGGTTGAGATCATGCATGTTGTGTCTCGCTATTTGCATCACCAATTTCAATGGTACCTGGTGTCTTCGGGTTATTCAATCAACATGGACTATTTACTACCTGCCAACCGCCCGGGGCCACACAGGCCAGCACCAAAGGCACCACAGAGCCTGCCGTGGACGCTTGTGGAAGCTCAAGGGCGGTCGTCGGGGTTGACCATGTTCACATGAGTGTTCACCACACCAGGGCTGTTCCCACATCTTTCCACCACATTCCACATAACACAAAGCATGATGGTGTTCCACATGATCCATCCATGTTCCATGGACACCCGTTTGGTTTGCACCCATCCATCACCTGGAAGCCATGGGTGATTCTCCATTGGCTGGAGACCTTCGGTACCCACGGCACACTTCAGTGACCTTTTTCTTTGGGTGAGGTGGGGTTTAGTTTTGATAGATGTGTGTCCCCAAAACTTGTAGTATATATGGGTTGTGATCCCTTTTGATGTTGCTCGCCCAGGAAACTCTATGATGCTTTGCGCCGGAGGGCGGATCCAGTGCACATCAAGAAAGATGGACAGCTTTTTGGATGGAGGAGACCTTCGTTCCCAAGCCAACCAATGGGTGCGAGCAGCTTTCTGTGATACTTTGACTGAGAAGGGAACCAATGGGAGTTAAAAAGGGTTGAATATAGTAACCCATGCAGTCATACAAATCCAGTTGTGGCAATTAAGGATGCTTCGATATCCAGGGTTCCACGGGAGAATGCCATCCGCTCGATAGTTTCAAGGCTCTGTTGGAAACTGAAGTTATGTGGCCGAGCTTTTGTTAGTCTTACGTGTATGGATGCACTGCAGTGTTCAGCTCCTTTGTTTTCGATGTACGTTGTGCTGAAAAAGGTATTACGTTGTCCTTCACTTCTATCCTTCACTCAGGTAATGCTATGATGGATGAGGAAGCTAAAGCTTGGAAGATAGAACAGGCATCTTTCATGCAAAAAAGTACCAAGCCTATTCGAGTGTGGGGGTGCCATTATCATTTCCTATGTTGTTTTCACACCACACTTTTGGGGCAAATATCCAAGGCTTTCCGGGTGCATCAAATCCTGATCAAGCACCAAAAGCAGAAGCGAAAGGGCCTGACATTTACATCGCCTGCTTCGAAGAAGTCAAAGTCCAGTGGGTCTATCGGGAAGCTTGTTCTGTTTGGAAGTTTTTGAGTTATCCATGTTGGTTAACCCATATGCTAGACTGAAACATGGGATTCACACCCTGATCTAAGGAGTTCGATGGACAATTTGGATACAGTGCCGATGGACACCGAGATCCCCAATCTAGATCCAGCGGACCTGATTCTTGTTTGGTATGCCAGGTTTGTCATATCCCTTTGTTTTTTTACCCCTGTTTAGAGCAAAGGAAAACATGTGAGGTAGGTCCTGGTCAGTGAAACCAACCCAGGAAAGCTTGTGGCGCATTACCTGGTGGTGAGGTGGGCCCTGACGTGGTTTTGGCTGAAGGTGAAGAGTCAGAGCCCTGTACGGATGATGAGGATGGTCTGGACAAAAAACTATGTTTCCTTGGTTCCAACCCATGGTTTAAAATTTAGGTTATTTTCCCATTCACGGCTAAAGTTGATTAAATTGGCCCTGTGAGGAGGATGAGTTGCTGATTGAGGATGATGGTGACATGGTGGCTCGGGAGAGCAAAGAAGATGAAGATGAAGAAGCAAAAGAAGAAACACAGCTTGACAAGAAGCCTGGCGAGAACAACAATGTGCCTTCTACAGATGAGGAATCTAGTGAAGATGAAGAGGCACCCGAGAATGTAAACACAGTGGCTGGAAAGGACAAGGTGCCAGCTATTGATGAAGTGTCCAGTGAAGATGAAGATGGAGATGAAGATGCACGTGGTCAGGATGACAAAGGGTCTGAAAAGGACACCAAGGATGCAGAATCCAGTGAAGGTGAAGAAGCAAGTCCAAAGAACATGATGGTTGAACGTGAATCCAGTGATGAAGAGGAAGAAAAAGAAGAAGGACACCAAGTGGTTGAAGGCGAAACCAGTGGTTGTGGAAGGGGCAACACTGTGGCTGAAGGTGAGCCCAGTGAATACGAATCATCAGATGATGAAAAAGGTGAGGCCCAAGTGGTTGACACGAAGAGTTCTGATGAGGAAGCGATGAAGCAGTGCATGGAGCAACTTAAGCTCATCGAAGATATGGAAGCATTAGAAAAATTACACAAGGAAATCTATGGTGAGCAAATCCCTGGGGGAGCCACGCTTCAAACAGGGGAGGAAACAAAAGGCCAATTGGCTAAGGAGGATCCTGAGCAGGAGGAGGAAAGCTCAGAAGATGAAGAGGAGGTTGAGACAAA